GAGAGCAGTAATTTAGGTACATGAACGTGAGAACAGTAATTGAGGTACATGAGAGCAGAATTTAGTACATGAACGAGAGAGCAGTAATTGAGGTACATGAATGAGAGAGCAGTAATTGATGTACATGAATGAGAGAACAAAAATTGATGTACATGAACTAGAGAGCAGTTATTGAGGTACATGAACGAGAGAGCAGTAATTGAGGTACATGAACGAGAGAGCAGTAATTGAGGTACATGAACGAGAGAGCAGTAATTGAGGTACATGAACGAGAGAGCAGTAATTGAGGTACATGAACGAGAGAGCAGTAATTGAGGTACATGAACGAGAGAGCAGTAATTGAGGTACATGAACAAGAGAGCAGTAATTGAGGTACATGAACAAGAGAGCAGTAATTGAGGTACATGAACGAGAGAACAGTAATTGAGGTACATGAACAAGAGAACAGTAATTGAGGTACATGAACAAGAGAGCAGTAATTTAGGTACATGAACAAGAGAACAGTAATTGAGGTACATGAACAAGAGAGCAGTAATTGAGGTACATGAACAAGAGAGCAGTAATTGAGGTACATGAACAAGAGAGCAGTAATTGAGGTACATGAACGAGAGAGCAGTAATTGAGGTACATGAACAAGAGAGCAGTAATTGAGGTACATGAACAAGAGAGCAGTAATTGAGGTACATGAACAAGAGAGCAGTAATTGAGGTACATGAACAAGAGAGCAGTAATTGAGGTACATGAACAAGAGAGCAGTAATTGAGGTACATAAATGAGAGAGTAGTAATTGAGGTGCATGAAATGAGAGAGCAGTTATTGAGGTACATGCACTAGAGAGAGCATTAATTGAGGTACATGAATGTATAGAATTATATTGCCTTTCTTTTTACCAGTATTTAATGAGGATGATAGAAAGGGTTGCTTATAATTAATAACCCTAATAGTGGTAAAAGGTCTGGGATGTATTTTTGAACCTCAGAAAGTGATAAATGGCATTACTTTGATGTTTTAATCAATATTTCTACCTTTTTAGCTCGACTTTTTTTTTTTTGAAAAAAAAAGTAGAGGTATTGTTATAGTCAGGTCGGCGTTGCCGTTGCCGTTGCCGTCTCCGTTGCCGTTGCCGTCCGAAAACTTGTACCTGGATCATAACTTTTTTATTTCTTGCTGTATTGTCTTCATACTTGGCCACAACAACCCTTGGGACAAGACCTTTCAGTAGACCACACTAACCTTGACCTTCATCCATAAATGACCTTGACCTTCAAGGTTAAAAGTCCAATTTTTGCTTGTTCATGCTGTTATTGGCTGTTACTTTGTTATTTTTGAATGGATTGTCTTCAAACTTGAACATAATAATTTTCAAGGATATCCCTTAAAAATAACCAGTCAGACCTTGACATTCACTCATCAATGACCTTGACTTTGAAGGTCAAAATTATTGAAAATTTTCATTTTTTTGGCTATTATTGGCTGTAACTTTGTTAGTTTTGAATGGATTGTCTTCAAACTTGAACAAAATAATCTTCAAAGATAACTGTTAAAAATATACCGAAAGACCTTGACCTTCACTCATTAATGACATTGCCTTTGAAGGTCAAATTATTGAAATTTTCATTGTTTTGGCAGTAACTGACGTTAACTTTGCTATTTTTGAAGGGATAAACTTCATATTATAACAGAACATTCTTAAGGACTAGACCTTGTTGTTTATCAAACCCAAATTTGCTTGGGCTCTTTAATGACCTTGACCTTGAAGGTTATATTACTGAATTTTCTCAGATTGTGCATTTATTGGTGTGTGTGTATGTATCAGTATATGTATTATATATATATATATATATATATATAAATGTGTGTGTGATATATATATACATATATGCAGGTATATATATATAAAAAATATATATATATATATATGCATGTATATATATATATATAAATATATAGATATATATATATCAAATATATATATATCAGATATATATATATATATATATATATTATATATAGATATATATATATATATATATATATATATATATATATATATATACATATATATACATGTATATAATTGCGTCATTTTTTTTTCTATTTTTAGAAATTGCGTCATTGTTGCTATTTTTAGAAATTGCGTCATTTTTTTCTATTTTTAGAAATTGCGTCATTTTTTGTTCTATTTTTAGGAATTTGCGTCATTTTTTCTATTTTTAGAAATTGCGTCATTTTTTCTATTTTTAGAAATTGTGTCATTGTTGCTATTTTTAGAAATTGCGTCATTTTTTTTCTATTTTTAGAAATTGCGTCATTTTTTTCTATTTTTAGAAATTGTGTCATTGTTGCTATTTTTAGTAATTGCGTCATTTTTTTCTATTTTTAGAAATAGCGTCATTGTTTCTATTTTTAGAAATTGCGTCATTTTTTTTCCCTATTTTTAGAAATTGCGTCATTGTTTCTATTTTTAGAAATTGCGTCATTTTTTTCTATTTTTAGAAATTGTGTCATTTTTTCTATTTTTAGAAATTGCGTCATTTTTTCTATTTTCAGAAATTGCGTCATTGTTGCTATTTTTAGAAATTGCGTTATTGTTGCTATTTTTAGACATTGCGTACTGTTGCTATTTTTAGAAATATCCTTAATGTTTCTATTCATATATATACAAAATATATAAACAAAACTAATGTGACAAGACAGACCAACTAAATTTATAAAAAGGAAACATCAATATATGTTCAAACCTTTCTATGTTTGCGTTTAGAAAAAGTAAAAAGTCGAGCGTTGCCCCCGCCCGGCGGTGGCTCTTGTTGTTATAATTGTAACAAGAGAAACATAAGATAGCTTCAAGCTTAAACCATCATGTTGTAATTATATATAAAATGATATTTATCTGTGTATAAATCTACATCATAAAAACACAGTACATATTGTATATATCATACAGAAATGATTGTAAACTTGCTGATAAAAAAAGAAAATACACATGTATCCCAGCCTTATTAATTAGCATGTTTTGTATATATAAATACCTCACCTCACTGAACATTATAAATGCATTTGTCCATTTTTTTTCAGTCTGGACAAAACCATTCATCATTTTTAAGGGAAAATTTCAAAATATGTAATGACCGAATAATGACCAGTGCAGACCATGATCAAACATTGACACAGTTGTGTCGGCTGATCATGGTCTGCACTGGTCACATGGTAAGAATGAGATGCTGCTAGCAGGCTTAGGGTTATTGTTCTCCATTAATGCCAATTAAAGTGATCGTATTTTGGAGATAAAGAATAAGATACAAAATTAATATTGCATTTTAAAGTCATGCCAGATGTTTATTTCCTACCTGTAGTCAAAACAAGTCATTGCAACTTATATTAATGACTTTCAAGTCTGCTTCCTTGAACCAACCAGTACTGGTGTCATATGCAGAAACATGGTCGTGACCAGCTTAGGGTTCGAAGCCGGCTCGCACCCATGATCCATGTGTTGAGAGGCAGACACCTTAACCAATAGGCCAGGACGGCTCCCCTTACCAAAAGCAGAAAGTGTTTAAGAAGTAAAAATGATAGCATTTCTGAGGCATAATGGGCCTTTAAAAAAAAAACAAGCCAAAAAAACAACAAAAACAATACATATATATACGGTATATATATAACACAAATTTCATGCTTTGACTAGTGTAAGTTACAACACACAAAGGTTATTCAATAAGTATTAATATAGATTTTTCACCTGTTTTAGATGGATGACTGTGTTCACACCTTTGAGATGAAATTAAACATGATAAAGTAGTATTTCATTACAGAGAGATAACAATCTGTTTTCAGTTTCAGTCCTTTGATCTTTTTGAGATCATTTTCATATTTTTGTTCCTTGGTTTCAAATTATTGTTAAATACTGTTTATATATCTCTCTCTAAGGCTAAGCAAAATGAATTTTTTTTTCTTTTTTAAGATTATTAAAGATTCATTCACATTTTCATATTGTATTTTTATGCTACTGTTGTTCTAGAAAAACCGAGTGAGTGAATGATCTGAAATTTTGCAAACAGGTTATTGGTAGGAACTTGCATCAAAAGGAACATAAATTCTGGAAAAAAAAAACTCCAGTCCGGTCATGTCAAAAAACATCAGTGGAGTCCCTTTAATATAATTCACTGTCAAATTTTTTAGGCTCATACTTTTGTTCTTAAACAATTGAAATGCTATAGTCTCATTTGCATATCTATAAAATGCTCATTTGCATAATGTATAATTCATTTGAAATTGGCATTTGTAGAAATAGTGGTAATTTACATAAATGGTAGATGCTTGATGCTAATTTGCATATATAAATATGCATGTATCTACTTGGTAATTAACTAATTATGTAAATTCACACATTAAAAGTGATGATAATTACCATATTATCAGATATTCTTCAAGGGAAAGTAAAAAGTAAAACAAAAAGTTCACTTCACCATAATATAATATATATAATGAGTTGCAAAAGGTTCAAGTGTGCACTTGGTTACAGGGAAGTTTTGTATACTTATTTATTTTTAGTCCCCTAAGGTTCCATGATAACCGTCATAATGAACTCATGTGCAGATGTTTCAAAATTCTAAATTTTACCAGTTCAAGTTGAATTCTGCATAAGCCTGTGCTAGGGGGCGTGGACAGTGCCTTGCATTTTCCAGTACCGTCCATGAACAGGCTCAATCAAATTAACCCCTGCAACATATTTCAATTTCATTGTTTTGGTCATGCTAATAGGAATTCTGTTTTTCTCTATTTTGCAATAAATATATACAATGTACACGTATATATGTTGACAATTTATTTATCCTTGGCCTTGAGGTTTTGCTTTTCTTCTAGTTTTATAGACATTTCACAATTTTATGTGTTTTTTATGCATTTGTTTTTTGTCAAGGTCATATCTTATCTATTTCATTACATAGAAAAAGGTTATCTTTTCAGATTTAAATGCAGTAATTCAATCCGACTTCAAAGTTATGCATGCATATCTTTTGTTTTAAGGACAAGATAATTCAATCATGCAAAAAATAATAATGTTTTACACACAGTCATTACAAGTCCTTTAAATGCAAGTCGCTTTATTTGAAGATCACTATTTGGAGTTTGGATTTACAAATGTGTCATAGGTAATAACTGGAATACTCTTATGCCATTGTGATGCTTTAATTATTGATAAATATACCATTGGATATACCAGTGTAATGCTTTATATTAATTTTGTTAACAACATTTTCAGTTGATATTTGATATACCATTAGTTAATTACCAGTGAAATGCCGTAATCTGGATATACCATTAACATGGCATATAGTTTTTACAGGAAATATTATTTTCAGTTGCTATTTGGATATACCATTGGTTTTACCAGTGTAGTGCTGTAATATGGATATACCATTGAGATACGCTATATATTGACTAGTGAAAATACCATTGTCAGTTGCTATAAATTGGATTTATACCAGTGTAATTAATACTATAATCTGAATATTATATACCATTGAGTATACCAGTGTAATGCTATATATATATTACTAGAAATATCATTTTCAGTTGTTATTTGATATACCGTTAGTTATACCAGTTTAATGCCGTTATCTGGATATACCATTGACATGGCATAATATATAGTTATTACTGGAAATACCATTGGTAAAATATACCAGTGTTATGCTGTAATCTGGATATACCATTGAAATGCTATATATAATTTGAACTAATGGAAATACCATTGTCAGTTGCTATATATTGGATATACCAGTTTTACACTATAACCAGGATATACCATTGTAATTCCCTGATCATTAATGAAAGCTCCCATTGGATTTGCCATTTTTATCAATTATCCAGGCTTTCTACTGGTCCCTACTTTTCCTACTTTTCCTACTTTTTCCTACTTTTTTCTTTTGATCCCTACTTTGCCCTACTTTTTTCTGAAATAGCCCTATTATCCCTACTTTTTCATTTTGAAATGAAATGAAAAAAAGAAGATATTTAAAGTGGTATTTCAGTTGCATTTTCAGTTGCAATTGATGAGTAGTTCAGGTGTGTGTGTGTGTCTCCTTGTGATGTCCATCCTTGAAAGACTCATGGTCAGAGCTGCATTACTGGTACTGGTACTGCAGTATGTGCTGCAGCGATTTTGCAAGTACTGGTACTGATACTGAATTACCGTACTCTTACAAAACTTTGCTACTACACAGGTACTGGTACTGCATTGCTGTCTTAAAAAGGTGGTACTGCTACTGCATTACATTAGGCAGCATTTTTGGTTTTGATAAAAATGTCATTATTTTTACTCATAAAGTAAAGCTGTAAATTCCATGTATTATTTTATTTTTGTGAAAATGTAAGTTATCAAACTATAAATAAATTGCTGCAATATTCCTTCAAATGTTAACTTAGTATTTATCATAAAAAAGCACCAAAGACTTAAAGTAAAATTAAATTGAGATAAACAGAGTCAATAACTCTTTACTGATAAAATATCCTTATTGCAATCTTATTACTTTGTATTTACTAGTAAAAAAAAGAGCAAAATAAACACTAATTAATTACTTCTATTCTAAATAATCCTATTTCAAGTGATATTGTTAGCACCATAAAAAGTTGTTATTTACTTTGGTATAATATGAACAGAGGTGTGAAGACAACAAAAAGACTGGTGGGTTTAAAATGTAAGATTATTGCATTATATTACAGTTGACTGGTTACTAAACAATAACATATGACATGAATATATGTTGTAATTATTGTTTGTAAAAAGTATGTTCGTTCATTTAAGTTGTAAAAATGTAATGTCAACTTTAAAGTAAATGATTTTTAATTTCTCTGTTGAATAATGTTTGCAATTATTTAGAATGACACTGTGTATTTATTCAAACTTTGATGAATATATAAAAGTATTAGTAGTCTACTGGTACTTAATTACTTCCCCCAAAAAAGTACTGGTACTGCAGTACCAAGCTAAAATCAAGTACTGGTACTGCAAGTCTTGGCAAGTACTGGTACTTAAGTACTACACCCTTAGTACTGATGCAGCTCCGCTTATTGTGCCTTGGCAAAACATTTAGCAACATTTTGGCTATGAGTTGCCTGTCTTTCAAGCATGGACTGAACTGAAGATACACACAGCCTGATGTGGTCTTGGTGGTGGTATGTTTTGCTAATTCTTAAATAAAACAGTAAGAAATTCCTACTTTATCCCTACTTTTTAACATCAGAAATCCCTACTTTGCCCTACTTTTTGGTAAAAAAATGCCCTACTTTTTCCCTAGTTTTTTTGGTAGAGGCAGTAGAAAGCCTGATTATCATTTAGGGATATCACCTTGGATAATACCATTGCAAATTTACAAGTTAGCATTTCTGATTGTTCTTTATAATATAGAGCAGTGTTTTTTAAAGTATTTAATCACTTAAGTGAGACAAAATAACCCGCGTCACGACAAAACCAACATAATGGGTTTGCGACCAGCATGGATCCAGACCAGCCTGCGCATCAGCGCAGTCTGATCAGGATCCATGCTGTTCGCTATCAGTTTCTCTACTTGTTATAGGGTTTGTAAGCGAACAGCATAGATCCTGATCAGACTGCGCGGATGCGCAGGCTGGTCTGGATCCATGCTGGTCGCAAACCCATTATGTTGGTTTTGTCCTGACACGGCTCAAATAAATTCATCTGCACCAGAGCTTGTAAACAATCTTCTACAGTGGTAATTATTAAGAATTTTGCTGGAATTTTGTTTACCATTATTTACCTGTGTTTAACAACTTATCCACACATTGTGATTCAATGAACCCTGAATTTGTTAAATGGGATTGCACTGCTTTGAATCAAGGTAAAGGTCGCGTGGCCATGACTTACACTATACGGTACCCCAATTCCCCCTCTACTGTCAACCCAAAACCTTAAAAAAAATTTTATGAAAAAAATTTTTTTTATGACTCTAAAATATTATTTAGAGTCATAAAAATTTTAAAAATTTATGAAAAAAAATTATTTATGACTCTAAAATATTATTTAGAGTCATAAAAATTTTTTTCATAAATTTTTTTTTTAGGGTTTTGGGTTGTAGAGGGGGAATGTGGGTATAGTGTAAGTCATGGCCACGCGACGTTTACCTGTGATTTGAATGGTAAGTAACAATAATTATGTAGTATAAGTAAGCCTATAACCCTACCCACGGCACCAAAAAAGATTTGTATTTTGGTGTTTGGGTTAAATTTTAGGTATTCTGTTTAATCATTTGACCTTACATTTATACAATTTGTCAGCAGGGATAATTTATTATCATAGTAGACAAAATTATCCGAAGGTGGGAAAACAGTGCCCATTGTTAATGGAAATTGTTTACATTCTCATAAATAGTGCCAAGAAATTTCTACTATCTTTATAATGATATGTTTTATTTCTGGAGGGTGTTTTCTCAAATTCTAGAAGGTGCTTTCTGAAATTATCTGAAGTACTTTGTTTACAGGATATTAAGGTAGAATAATGTGTTTTATGAAAGGAATTTAAGAGCCTAAGGTGAATAATTAGGGGCAGCCACTTGATGAATTTCAAATAATGGCAATATTAATGAATGCAATAAAACATGTTTCACATTGTTTGAATTACCTATTCAATGTATATTACAATATTGAGGAAAACGGTATGTATTTTCCGAGAATTTAATTTCCTTGTTTTATACAATTGGGAAAAAAAAAGGAATTTCCGTGTTTCAGATTTCAGTAAGTTTGTTGTTAGTAAAATCCTATAAAAAACAATTTTAATTCTTAAAGGGACTCCACTGAGGTATTTTTAACATGATAGGACTGTAAAATTTTTTCCAAGATTTGTGTACCTTTTGATGTAGGTCTAGACAAAATTGCTTGTGTGCAAAATTACAGATCATTCATTCATTGGGTATTTCCGAAATAAATATCTTCCCTGTGAAATATGACCCTAAAATCTCAAATCAGACTAAGAATTACACAAAAATATTATTTCCAATTTAATTCTAAGTATAGCTTTTATTCATCTTTGCCTTCTTTGCCTACCTTTCTGTTTTAATCTATCATGTATGTTACAAATTCAAATTTTATTGTTTTTAAAACTTTTGGATTACAGTTTTTTTCTTTTCATTTTTTTACTTCTATTTTAAATTCATAATCAACCAATATTATATAGTTCAAGCTAAAAGCTAACATTCTATTTTTATAGTTTATAGTTCAACCTTAGATTACCCTTTTGAGATAAGAAAAAAATCTTCTTCTCAGAAAAATGTTAAAGCATGTCCCTTTAAAGTAGTATAAAAAAGATGTTACATTTAATTAATGATGTTTCATTTAAATTTTCACCTTAAGGGACAATATAAGTGTTTTACTTACTACTGATTTATGGAAATTTTACAATTTTGTTGGGTTTTTTTGGTTAAAAATATTTGCTTAAGGCATTTAATGTGTTAGATTAACTTTGATACTGACTTGAGAAATATGTAAGTTTATCTTGAGATAAAAAAAAAACAACATGTGATTATTGTGATGTAATGTTCACTATTTAAAATACATGAAAACTCAGATATGACTAAGTACAGGATTTTCATCGGTCAGAGAGAGAAAGTAAAAACATCATAATCAGATAGTTTTTTTTTTTTTTTTTTATGTTTTTATAAGTGATTAAATGAAATTTTCTGTCATTGGAATTAAAAAATAAAATAAAAAAATCAACTTATAAGGTGGATTAAAAGGATCAGTGTAAATTTATTATAATATATTATTATTTTACTATATGAGTTGGGAGCAAAATATATTATTTTAATGTACGAATTGTGTGTTTCTTTAAAAATTTACCTTTACATGCTGAATGCTGCAGTTTTTATTACACACATTTATATTTGAGCTGTGTCATGACAAAACTAACATAATGGGTTTACGACCAGCATGGATCCAGACCAGCCTGCGGGTCCGAGCAGTCTGATCAGGATCCATGCTGTTCGCTTACAGACACTATAACAAGTAGAGAAACTGATAGTGAACAGCATGGATCCTGATCAGACTGCGCTGATGCGCAGGCTTGTCTGGATCCATTCTGGTCACAAACGCATTACGTTGGTTTTGTCATATATTCAAAGTCATTCCGTAAATCATACTTCTTCCCATATTAACTGATGCATCTTCTGATATTTTACACTGTTAAGAAATTTGCTGCAGAAATTGGAAACATTCAATATCAAAATATCAAGATAGTGTAGATAAGGGGAGATAATTTTGGAATTACATGGGTTTTTTTTCTTTCAACTTATTTCTGATGGAATTTTGTAACATTTCTTTCACACCCTTTGTGTTTTATTGTAACATGAAAAGAGATTAAATCTCTTCTATAAGTGTAAGACTGAGTTATCTGTTTCTATGATTATATTACAGTTACATCAGTCTAGCTATGTGGGGGAAAACATTGTTTAATCTATAGGTGATCTAATAACATCAAATGTCTTTAAAGTTCCAGAATGCATTAGTGCTATCAATAGACATTTTTTAATTCCTATCACAAAAATCTGTGTGTTCAAGAATAGTAACAGAATGAGGGAAGCGACTGCTTTGTAAAAGAGTTTGAAAATACTTATAATGTACAGTAAATTAATATTATACGTCATATTAAATTCTTAAAGGGTCCAAGGTTATAATATGATCACTTTTTTAGTGATTTATTTACGGTAAGCAAATTTTGAAAAAAAATTAATGAAGTGATACAAATTTGACTGTAAATCAGACTGCCCTGGTTCGATTCTCGGACAGTGCATGTCACTTTTTTGGTGATTGATCATGAAATCCTTTCTACGATTATTAATTCACACTGTACTTCTGCTCTGGTATGTACAGAAGTTATCAGTACCTTGCATCTAGTGCTGGTAAACTGCTTGACCGCTTAGCCTGCCCAGGAATGATGTGGTGAGTGAGCTGTGCTCTGGTGAATTCAAAGTGCGTTATTTCCGTTATTTCCACCACCACACCACTGATATAAGATCATGCAAGTTAATTATAATATAGATTTGGATATAGATATAAAGTTTTTATAGAAGACTTCTTGTATGATAAACAGTTAATCATGGACAGTTGTTTAGATGTTTGAAAGTACCTGACTAGAAAATGAGAAATTACTCTTAAACTTTGCATTTTTTCTACTTTCAGGTAAAAGATGTGCCAAGTAATCATAACGTGTCGGTCCATTTTCTGGACGTTACTCACCATAGCAACGACCCAGATAATGATCGCCTCCGTCATGTCACCACAATGGATGATAGGTTTCGAACGTAAAACTGGACTTTTAACGTTAAAAGACATAGATAACAACACGGTCTCTGACGGAAGTAAGGACATGTTTAAACCAACTATCGGAATTATTAATCGCTGCACGAGACTTCATAAATTCCAAAATATTCTAAAAAGAGAAAATTGTGCGACTTTTGTTAGAGACTTTGCGATGCCAAATTCACAGTTTCCAGATGCATGGAAGGCGTCGTTCGTGTTTTTCTGTGTTGGATCTGTTTTACTCGTGTATACCATGGGGGCGTCAGTAATGAGCATATGTGTACAGTCTATGTGCGGAAAAAGCATATTTAACGTGTCGGGGCTAATACAAAGTATTGCAGGTAATAATAGTTTAATATGGTTCTATTGAATGCATTATTATATTAAAGTTTATATATTTTCATACGGAAAATACCATTTTCTGAAAAGCACCGTCACCTAAAATCTAGTTTTTCCTATCTGAATTAGAAGCTACAATAGCTATTTTGAAGGCTTATATTCACAGCAATTTATAACACATCATGCTGGCCCAATTAAAAAAAAAACAAGTCTCGTAAGGCCCACATTTCCTTGGCCTCACTCCAGTCAGTGTTCTAAAAGCATACAAAGCCTAATTTTCTTGAAAATAAAACATTTTCCCGAAACCACCATCATTTCTCCGAATTTTCTTGAAAATAAAACATTTTCCCGAAACCACCACCATTTCTCCGAATTTTCTAGAAAATAAAACATTTTCCCGAAACCACCACCATTTCTCCGAATTTTCTTGAAAAATAAAACATTTTCCCGAAACCACCACCATTTCTCCGAATTTTTCTTGAAAAATAAAACATTTTCCCGAAACCACCACCATTCTCCGAATTTTCTTGAAAAATAAAACATTTTCCCGAAACCACCACCATTTCTCCGAATTTTTTGAAAAATAAAACATTTTCCCGAAACCACCACCATTTCTCCGAATTTTCTTGAAAATAAAACATTTTCCCGAAACCACCACCATTTCTCCGAATTTTCTTGAAAATAAAACATTTTCCCGAAACCACCACCATTTCTCCGAATTTTCTTGAAAATAAAACATTTTCCCGAAACCACCACCATTTCTCCGAATTTTCTTGAAAATAAAACATTTTCCCGAAACCACCACCATTTCTCCGAATTTTCTTGAAAAATAAAACATTTTCCCGAAACCACCACCATTTCTCCGAATTTTCTTGAAAAATAAAACATTTTCCCGAAACCACCACCATTTCTCCGAATTTTCTTGAAAAATAAAACATTTTCCCGAAACCACCATCATTTCTCCGAATTTTCTTGAAAAATAAAACATTTTCCCGAAAACCACCATCATTTCTCCGAATTTTCTTGAAAAATAAAACATTTTCCCGAAACCACCATCATTTCTCCGAATTTTCTTGAAAATAAAACATTTTCCCGAAACCACCACCATTTCTCCGAATTTTCTTGAAAAATAAAACATTTTCCCGAAACCACCACCATTTCTCCGAATTTTCTTGAAAAATAAAACATTTTCCCGAAACCACCATCATTTCTCCGAATTTTCTTGAAAAATAAAACATTTTCCCGAAACCACCATCATTTCTCCGTTTGTAGGATTCTTAATGCAAAATAGCTCCTGCTACAACCTAAAGCCATATGTTTAAAGCCATGTATGATCATTGTTTACTTGTTTTAGTTGTCCACCTGCTTTAAGCTCAAGAGAGAGGCCATCTGATTAGTAAATCCAGAGGTCAAGGGTTCGATCCTTAGGGGAGGCGAAATTTTTCCTTGACAATTTTTCTCAGACTTTGAGATAATCAATGGACAATTTCAATTAGCATAGAAACCAGAAGAACAAAGAAGACTCCAAAGTCCCTTTTGCTTGTTATTTTTTATAAGAAACTTTTTACCTCCTCTTGAAAAATAGTAAAAATGTCAACTTCCCTTTTGTAGAGAATGCATTACCTCTTGTTAAAATTTTGCAGCCCTCAGTGGTAAAAACTCCTTGATCCAGGTCTGAATATGATATCTGGCCATACATATAATACAATTTGTTGCAGCAATAAACTGAATATTCATCAGATACCTGATGGTTAATACTCAATATATATTTTATATATGTATTTATACCCAATAATGTACACAAGTTTAAAAATCAATCAAAAAAAAATCTGTTTAAAATCTAATTTTGCAAAGAATAATGGCACCAACATATTTTTTATATATTTTGAAAGAATTGCACCTGTTGGTTGTAAATTCAATGAAATATTTGAACGAACTAGTTTGCTAGATTTTCGTAATTTTCTGGCAGATTGTTGACTATGTTCCAGGTAAACTGCTCTGTTTTTCAGAGGAAATAAATCTTTGCAGTAAACACTTGTTATAAAATGCTATATATAAATAGCAATATGATTTATGATTTTGCGCTATTTTTGGGGCAGTTATTTATAGGTTTATGATTGTATGACATCAACATTTTTGTGAGGGTTGAGTTTAAGAACATACCAATGTGTGTCAAGGAAATATGGCTACTTTTCATCTTTGATGGGGGGGGGGGGGGCCTCCCCCCTCCCCCCACCCCAGAATCAAATTTAATGGAATAAAAGAATACAATTATGTAAAAATAGACAAATGGTTTAAGGAGTTTATAGAATGAATATGATATTAAGGTTTTAAAACAATAAAAAAGTAAAATTCAGGTTACATTGAAACTAATCAAGTTTTGTTTGATGAATACTAGTATAGGAAACAAGATTATTATGCAAAACAATAACATTATTTTACTTTAACTCCTTATTATTGATGAATAGTAGAATACTATGAATCACTTTTGTTCCTTAGGAACTAGAATTATATGAGCCGCGTCATGACAAAACCAACATAATGCGTTTGCGACCAGCATTGATCCAGACCAGCCTGCGCATCCGCGCAGTCTGATCAGGATCCATGTTGTTCGCTTACCAACTCTATTACAAGTAGAGAAACTGATCAGGCTGGTCTGGATCCATGCTGGTCGCAAACCCATTATGTTGGTTTTGTATATTGTCTTGTATATTTGTCTTGTTCCTTGAAATTGATATTTCCTATGTCATCTACCGTAAAATTCCTATTAAATGCCCCCGGGGGCTAAACATTTTCCAAAAGGGGGGCTATTATTAAAACACTTTTTCCTAAATCCAAAAATCATTGTAAATACATTTAGTGTAAGCAAGTGTTGGTAAGAGCATCAAAAATTGTTAAGGTTTTAAAGTTCATATGATACATTTTTGTGTTTACTTTAAAATAAAATGGATTCTGAATGATTTGAATAAAATTATGGATATACTCATGAGTTCAGCACAGATGAGTAGATTTTTTCCATATCAAAAAGCCTGGGGGGCCTTTATTAGGGCAGGGGCATTTATTAGGAATTCTACGGTATGTCATCTATGTCACACCTAGTTTTCATTGATTATTGCAATATCGATATATCATCAATATCCATCATCTGATACAATATCGATACACATTTTTGAATATCGATACAAGCTAAAATTTGTATACCTTTATTTTTTGCCTTATAAGTGAATTCACTTTTTCAAGTTTAAATGGCTAACTTAAACTCTGTTTTCAAGTGTCAGTGAGAAAAAGAACAGAAAAAAAACACTTTCTGTTAGTTTGTAGTATTTGTAATGTATAATACAAACATGCATAACACCATGATCCCAATTTGTAACACATGTTTAAATGTATTTAATTGTATCTATTGTCAAAGTCGATATATCAATATATATCGTCTACATTTGTCTGTCGATGTATGGATACGAAATTTTCCATCAACGACAGCCCTATCACATCTAGAATTTTGAGTTTTCAATTTAGTTGTCAAGGGCATCAGGGGGAGCAGGAGCTGGCTGGGCTGGGCGGTTCACTTCAAGATTCCTTATATCATCTATATGCGGTCTTTCAGGTCTTTCAAAACTTGGATAATCATCATCATCTACAAAAGAAGGAGTCTCCGATTTCTTTGTCGTCTGCTCACTCTGCTGCTTTGACAGAGTTTCTGCATTTTGCTTGCTTTCACCAGAGGATTTATCCATTTTAATTTTATTGTTATTATTTTCAGTCTCTTTTTATTTTCTTTTAATGTAGATCTTATTTCAGTTTTCATAAAGATTATAAACCACTCCAATATTTACACCAGGCTTTATCTCCAATATATTTTTTGTACTTCACTTTAAGTCACAATATGTTTTCAAGTGAAAGGTATAATTGCCGGATAACAATATCCCAGAATAGGAAGGGGCACTCTGAACAAGGGCTGTCGAGAAAGTTTGTAGACAATGAATGCTATGAATAAATATTAAAAGCAGTCATATCAATAAGATGATTGAAAATTTTGCTAAAGTATTTATTTGCTACATATTTCTTAATTAAAATACATTATAAAAGTAATATTCGCAAGGCACCAATCACCTTGGCAACATGATGTTGATGTCAAAGTGCTCCCTGACGATGTATATATGAGCCGTGTCATGACAAAACCAACATAATGCGTTTGCCACCAGCATGGATCCAGACCAGCCTGCGCATCTGCGCCGTCTGATCAGGATCCATGCTGTTGGCTTACAAACCCTGTACAAGTAGAGAAACTGATAGTGAACAGCATGGATCCTGATCAGACTGCGCGGATGCGCAGGCTAGTCTGAATCCATGCTGGTCGCAAACCCACTATTTTGGTTTTGTCATGATGCGGCTCATATGTTTTATGTAAATACTTTTAAAATACAAATGTTAATCTCAAGTCAGTAATTTTGTGTAAATGTCTTCGCAACATTTGTTTATTTTTGCTTGCAAAATTTGTACAAGGTATGTATTGTTCAAGAGTAAAAAAGAAGAAGTATATGAACTTTCCGGACATCCCTTGTAGATTTAATGCTGAGAACAATGGAATGTATTGTTTTAGAGTAAAAAAGAAGAAGTACATGTATATGAACTTTCTGGACATCCCTAGTAGTTCAAATGCTGAGAACATGCAGGCATACCGATTTGTAAAAGGGTGAGATAAGCACATGCATAAATTTGTTGTTGGAGTCTGCGCCGAAGCGCAAGGCCCCTTATGGAATGAAATCAGTTTTTAGCTCGACTATACGAAGTATATGGAGAGCTGTCCTACTCGCCCCGGCGTCGGCGTCTGCGTCCGCGTCCAGATTTTAGATTAAAGTTTTGGTGCAGTAAAATATTTTTCACTATAACTTTGTCATTTCTTAAGGTATCAACTTCAAACTTCAAATATATGTTCCTTATCATCAACCACAGCTTACGTGACAAGGTTCATAACTCTAGCACCAATATTTTCAGATTTATCTCCCCTTGAACTTAGAATTTTTCTCAAAAAATGCTATTTCTTACAGTGTTACTTCTTTATTTCTTAAGGGATCAACCTCATACTTCAAATATATTTACGTTATCATCATCCCCATCTTATGTGACAAGGTTCATAACTCTAGCACCAATATTTTCAGATTTATCTCCCTTTGAACTTAGAATTTTCCATAAAAAATATTATTTTTTACTGTTACTTATTTATTTCTAAAGGGATCAACTTCATACTTCAAATATATTTACGTTATCATCATCCACATCTTATGTGACAAGGGTCATAACTCTAGCACCAATATTGCAAGAATTATCTCCCCATAAACTTATATTTTTTTACTAGAAAAATGTTATTTTTTATTATAACTTTTTTATTTTTAAAGGTATCTACCTCAAACTTCAAATACTTATTCCTTATCATCAATTACATTTAATGTGACAATGTTCATAACTCTTGAAGCAATATTTACAGATTTATCTCTCTTTGAACTTAGGATTTTCTTTAAGAAATATAATAACTTCTTTACTTTTTAAGGTATCTACTTCAAACTTCAAACATATATTTCTTATCATTACACAAATGTTGTGTGACAAGGTCCATAACTCTAGCATGACTATTTCTAGAATTATTCCCCTTGATCTTGGAATTTATTTTAACAAATGTTATTTTTTTACTATAACTTAATACATTATTATACATAATTGATTTTTCTTTCATAGTTTTGTCCTCCTTACTGCGTCCAGTATTTTATTAGTCTAGCTTCGCTGTCTCCTGTGACAGTTCTTGTTGTATATGTAATTAATATGTAAATAAGAAAAGTTAAGACAACCCCTAACATCAGATGCAACTCTTCATTGTTTTATCAGTGAGTAGTATATCTAAAAATAGCTGAAGCAGACACATCTAACTATAACAATCACAACAATGTTTAGTATGCTAGTTTTTAGGTTTTCTTCATTTCCATCACAGTTTTTCATGGCCCAGTAGACATGTGTTTTGATGATGGCAGCTTTGTGTGATAATTCTTGGTGCCAAGTTGAACCTTCTTTATATTTTGGACCTGAACAACCAGTTTTGACTTGTTTTGTGAGTTTTTTTTGTTCCATGCCAGGTACATGTATCATTCGTTGATGTTGTTCCACTGCGTTCTGTTTTGATAAATTCGTTAACACTTCCATTTTTGTCATGGTAATGTAGTCTTACTTGCATGCTTTTGTCTTTGTATATATACCGATCAAAAAAATCATATAATTTTTGGGTTCCAATTAGTTCATCTTTTTGAGATGACTGTGAATCTTTTATTGTATACATGTACAGTATTAAGGACTTGGTGTGTATTTGCTCCTATATACATAACATCTGTGTGGTATAAATTCTTTCTTGTGCCTGATGTCGTGCATCAGTCAAAATGTCAATAAATTCCTCTCCTGCATTTGATTGTATTTCTGACTTTATTGCCAGATCACTTGCTTCTTCTGTTATTTCACCTACAACATTGCTGTATTTAGAAAACACTTCGTTAATGTAGCATTCTCCAAGACAGCCTATACCAGCAGCAGATGACAATCTATTGAACTTGTTAGGAAGTATTCCTGACACGAAATATTTGGTCACATGTCACTGACATTTAGGCTTATCAGCTCAAAAACTATCCAGCATTATTCAGTCACATGTCACTGACATTTAGGCTTATCAGTTTAAGTGCTATATCACAAAGTTACTGAGACAAAGCTTGTATTGTTTTAAACTTGATGTTTTCAATCCACCTCAGATGTCAATGCCCACAACATCACAATTTGCCAAAATGAATTCACAGAGGGGCCCTTAAATAAATTCTCCATCCTCCTAAAAAATCATTTAAATTAGTGAACTACATGTATCACTCTAACTAAAAGTTGAAATGTTTTTCTGTCACATTTTGTATCATTTAACTGATTTAAATTTTGCTGATGAAACAGTTTTTATCAATGTAAAGTAAGTAAGTAAGTAAGGTCATGTCACCTTTGGACAGTCAAGTTTATGAGATGTTAGTATAATTAGGTTGATTAATAAAAGTCATTCACTGTGTTCATTATGATAATATTATTGTCACTAGTTAAGTTGTATATCACATTTAAGAACTGTAACTGTCCAGAATTACAAATAGGTTAATGGAAGATTTCAGGTGCCCATTTATGATGATTTTGTATCGTCCTGTTAAAAATATATACAACTGTTTTAATTATTTCAGGTTTGTGTGATCGGCCTATTGTTATGTCCTGTTAAATCTATATTTCAGGTTTATTTTGTGTGATCGGCCTATTGTTATATCCTGTTAAAACTATATTTCAGGTTTATTTTGTGTGATTGGCCTATTGTTATATCCTGTTGGATGGTCATCAGAGAAAGTGAAGTTTTATTGTGGAGAACAATCTGCAGCGTATAACATGGATATGTGCAAACTGGGTAAGGATTAAAGGCCCATACAGCCTCTGTTTTGAATATGCTGCACTAGTTAAAGGCCCACTTCAAAAATCTTTAAACTGTACTGCTTTCCATTAAAAAGGGACTGCACCAACTGGGTTAATGGTTTCTTTTTGAAAATGTTGTTTTGGTAAAAGGTCCATGAAGGGCATGAAAGATGTAGAAAAAAATAAGGGTTAATGTATATTATTTCTTAAAAGAATAGCTTAAAGGAAATTGGAAGCTGGTAGTAAATCCTTGATAGATTTAATTTATAGATGTTAGATTGGGTATTACATTACACTGACACAGTATATGTCATATGGCAATGTTCCAGCTTTACTGTTGGAGGAAGACCTCAGGTGTGCGTTTGTGCATTATTTCAGGCTCAAACAGGCAACTGAGTAAGAACCACCAATGTTATATAAACTAGCTGAATAGCTTCCGGACCTGAAAGAATCCAAAGTCCCTGTCGGGATTCAAACCCACAGCAGTGAAGGAAATTAATTATGTTTCAAAACAATAATGTATAAGGTTACGTCAGACTGTAAAAGTTTAAATGTTTTTCATTGTATGTAACAATTATTATGTTTATATATACATTGTTATACCAGCTTGTGACACATTTCTGACACTTTGTTATACAATGTAATATGACAATATAATTTGATTTGACATCTGTCAAGTATTCAACAAAATTGCTAATGTTAAAATAAAAAATTGTTGGATATTTTTTATTATTAAGGAAAAATATTTCTGATGTTAAATTTTCCCCTTAACATGCTGAATATTTTAAATGGACTTGTCCCACTTCCATTTTTGGGACTGTCCATTATCGATTTTAGGGATATCAATTTGAATATTTAAAGTTTGTCAGCCAACAGTATAGAGCCAGGTCAGACTGCACGGATGACCTGGCTCTATACTGGTGGCAAAGGCTTAATGTTTTCGGTTCCAGCAGTTTAAGGGTTAATTTTAACCTGCTGAAGTTTTTGTTATGGATCTGACTTGCCTTGAATTTGGAACAGTCCATTTAAAGCATACATGTGAATTTTTTTTGATGATCAAGTGGGAGAATTTTCTTCAAAAAGAGGGAGATTTTAGAATTTGCAATAAACAAAGAAGGAAGTTCTGAAATAAAAAATAGGGAGATTTTTCTTTAATTTGTGAAAATACCCCTTATATTAAGAAAAATCTTTGAAAATATTGCTGCAGAAAGTGGGAGTCTCCCACTATAAGTGTGAGAGTTCACATGTATGATTTAAAATGTAAGGGATTTCAATATCAAAATACAAAAATTATGATAACCACAGAAAAGTTGCTTGGTCAGAGGGATTATAAATACAAGCTAGCCTGGTTCTATGATGGTGGCAGACGTATGCACCACCCCATTAACCCCCACTTCACACAAACTTATCTAGAGCGGACAAAAATTATTGTACACTGTGATATGAAACAATTTTACTATAAACCATTACATTTTAATAATATTTTGCTGTGATAAACTTTTTTGCTATGCTTAACCATTTTGCTATGATAAACCATTATATTATGATAAACCATTTTACTATGATAAACCATTTTAACTATGATAAACCATCTGACTATGATAAACCATTTTGCTATGATTGACCATTTATAAACCATCTTACTATGATAGACCATTTTACTTTCTAAAACTATTTTTGCAATGATAAACCATCTTACTATGATAGACCATTTTACTGTCATAAAGCATTTTGATATGATAAACCTTAATATTTTGATAAACATTTTCCTGTGATAAACCATTTTACTATGATAGACAATTTTACCATGGTAAACTATCTTTTAAAGAAAGACCATTTTACTATCATAAACCATTTTCATATGATAAACCTTTATATTTTGAACCTTTACTTTACTCTGATAAACCCTTTTTTTACTATGATAAACCATCTAACTATGATAGACCATTTTACTATCATAAACCATTTTGCTGTGATAAAAAACATTTTGCTATGATTAACCTTTTTACTTTGATAAAAATGTTTACTATGATAACCCATTATATTACAGTACACCATTTTATTATGAAAAACCATTTTACTGTGATAAACCATTTTACTATGATAAACCTTGTTTCTATGATAAAACCATGCCACATAAAGATATTCTGATGAAACGATTTATACAATCTGGTTGACAGATATGATTTAATTTCAGTGCAGTTCAATACACATTTAACTTACACATGGGGCACATTTCATAATTATTGAAAATTAATAATTCATGGTGATTCACAATTTTCACACACTGTTTAATATAATATGAATATTCAATGAGCACAATGGTCATAATGGTTGTGACAATGAATTAATTATAAGGAAATTTATTGGTTATATATTGTGAGAAGGTGTACAAAGGCTTGCTAATTACCAATACATACAAATGTTATTATCATAATTTTGTAGTCAGACGAAAATCAATGACCTTTTGTTTAAACCTTAAAGCTGCACGTCTCCAGGTTAGCCAGAATATTTCAAACTTGCGAGAAAAATGTACTATGATTTTAAGAAAAGTAAAAAGATTCAAGATTCAATAAATAATTCACATGTAATGTGCAGTATTTATAACTTTATTTTTGCGTTATTTTTGTTTGTTTCTTCAATGTTATAAAACATTTCAAAAGATATAACGTTAACTCACTTAATTTTTGTAATTATTGTTTTGTCATGAAGAACATTTTCATGGGTACTTTAAATAGTGACTTGTTTATTTTTCCATTAGGTAAAATGTAAATGATGTGATGCAAAATAATTTTACAGCAGACAAAATGAAATTTCATTCGATCTTAAATTCATGGATTGACCCATCCACGAAAATCATAAAAATTAGTTCCCCACAAATAAAAATGATTTTACAGTAGCTTTAAAAACTTTCAAGCAAAAAAAGGTCAATTTTACAGTAGCTTTAAAAACTTTTAAGCAAAAAAAGGTCAAATCAAATTTCTAGAGTGTGCTTCTGTGTTGAAATTGAAATAAGAATTTTGTGCACTACGTATTTCAACGAGAACATTCTCTAATACTTTCAGGCTGGTCCTTCTACCTGTGCATCTTTGCCGTGATTATGGTATTTGTGTGTTCAATCCTGTCCGTCGGTGCCGAGCGAGCCACGTCTAGTCGTAAAGTCGAGGATGAAGTCATCGAAGGAAAGGCCTTGATCTGTGTCATGGCATAGAGACAGGAAGGAAATTGAACTTCAGACTTTTATACGTTCAACATACTAAAAAGTCTTGTGTTCGAACATGATTTTTTACAATGAATCGTTTTTTATTAATGAATTTTTGATATCATACAAAAGTATTTAAAAGCTGTGCTGTTAAAACAGGATAGAGTTGATAATAGACAGTTTATTGAGGGCTTAGTGCAAAAAGGGTCATAACCCATATGACATAAAGATGGAGTTACAACCCTTTCGCACTAAGCAGTCATATGACATAGAGATGGAGTTACAAAACCTTTCCCGCTAAGCCGTTGAATATTATATCCCGCTCGCTGGCGGTATTTTATACAAGACTTAGTGGGCTATTTGATGTGTCAGTCTGTATAAATCTTTGATCACATTTGAAAAAAAAACAACAACAATACATTAGTGTAATTTTCTAACATGAACAATTCTTATTTTTGTGATTTTTGGTTTGTGAAAATAAAGAACAGTTGAGAGGTGAAGTAATTGAAAAGTCTCACATACATTATGTTATGTTATAATGTTAAAATAGTTTGTGAATAGTGCAAAAAAGGTAAACAAAATCACATTGCTTGGGTGGGTGGGGTTAGGGCATAGGAGAGGAGGGGGGAGAAAGATGTTGTACAACTGTTTTCAATCGTGCTGTAATTTAATAACTGTATGACAGCATTGATTAGACTAAAGAATGCCTTGATAAACTTGTATTTCTATGAAAAATGATTCTCTTTAGACACAGTTTTGTAATCGTTTTTTTACACATTTTATGATTTATATTCTGTTTATGTAAAATGGTTATTAGATTAGCATTTTTGTTATGGAAAGATGATTTATGATATGACCAAGTTAAATTTACAATTTTATGACTCCTTTCTTTTGAAATTTTGAGAAAGTGTCAAGTTTGCTTAATCTTAAAGTTCATTGAATTTTGATAAAAGTTAAATATATGAAAATATTCTATAGTTATATATATGTCTACAAAAAAAAGAGTTCCTTGTATTTTTCTTTATGAAATAGTTAATGAAATGGGGAGGAAACAGCCCAACCAATGATACAAAGGGAAGTAATCCAGATTGACACAAAAATAAGTACATAATAAAATGTATTAGTTACTTCCCTTGATTTAGATTTTTTTTTTCTATTTTCTTTTTTTAATGATTTATGCAATTACATTTATGTTGCCATTAAAATGTCAGTAACATTCAGCTTAAATTCAAGATGAAACTTGATATAATCTTTAAATTTTTAAAAAGACACAAAACAAAAGAATAACCAGCCAATTTTTGTGGTGCATTATTTTGTTAACACTGTAAATGACCAGTGTCTATGTGTAGTGAACAATATACTCAGTGTACCAAAGCAGATTATTTATATTTCATAAATCATTTTGTTTGTTTGTTTGTTAGTCTGTCTGTTATTTTTTGTCTTTGTTTACTTATAGTGCTTTTCAAGAAAAAAAGTTTATGTAGCCAAGATGCTGTCTGCAGTGGTGAAACAAGAATATGGTGCTCGTATTTTCGCTGCTGAACTTTATTGACCAGATAACTCATTTGAAATTGGAGAACTATTTTTTTTTGTGGAATAATTGTATAATTATTGTGCATGAATGTTTTGCTGATATTTTCAGGAAGTATTTAATGGCCTAAATCTCATTGATATATCATTATATAGAAACTATTGTGTTCAGCCTCATTAATTATTGTGATGTATTAACCCTTATCCTGCTGGAACCAAAAAAGGGGATTTGTTTACCAGTCTAGAGCTAGACCAGACTGAACATCAACACAGTCTGACAAAGTTCCGGTACATCATTGCAGTCTGAAAAAGTTCCGGCACATCGGTGAATTTGAATTCTTACACAGATCAACTGGGACCCTTTAAAAAGAAGATTATGCAAAAGATAAATAAGAAAATAGACTCAAAAATAAATTGAAAATCATATTTATGTGCTATTCTTAGCCCAATTTCAGTGAAAAGTGTTTGAGTAATTTTTCTCAATTTATTGAAATGGAATATATTTTTAGGAAAAACAGAGAGAGTGAATTATCTGAAATTTTGCACACAAGTTATAATTGGTCTAGACCTTCATCAAAAATAATCATAAATCTCGGAGAAAAAAAATTTCCAGTGCTGTCATGTCAAAAAAAACTCAGTGGAGTCCCTTTTATCTTTTAATGGATTGTTCTCAATTCAATACAGGGAATATTCATAAAGCATATTCAACAGGTTAAGGGTTTGAATGTAAATTTATAGAGTTTTATATTATGCTAAAGAGCTTCTGTTGTCATGTATAATCATTATGAGATTATAGAAATTATCATTACCATGTCCCTAGATTCCATTTTATCCACACAAAAAAACACAACCTCCCGATTGTTTTCATTTCATTTATATTATCGATCTCATCTCCGTTTTAATCCTTTTGTTCATTAGCATCATCATCATTAATCAACAACAATGTTATCATCATCATCATCATATCTATCACCACCATCATCAACAACATTTTTATCATCATCATCATCAATAACAACAACATTATTATCATCTCACCATCATAACAATCACCACCATCATCAACATTTTCATCATCATCATCACCATCAATAATAACAACAACAACAACATTATTATCAACGCACCATCATCATCATCATCCTTACCACTGCTATCGTCATCATTAACTTAATTATTCATCATTTTAAGTTGATTCAGAAATGAGATTATCTCACATTTTGCCATTTGATGTTGTATACATGTATATATAGAATGTCATAAATATTCTTGTAAATCATGGTTTATCACATGTAACACTGTAACTCATCCAAATCCCTGGAAGGTTTTCAATGCAATATAGTTGTATATTTTGTTTATTTGATAATTCTTTCTGATTTTTTTTCTTGATTGATTAACTTAAGTTACCACTCAAAGGTGCTATTAATTACAGATTTTTCAGTCTGTTAATGAAGAAAACTCTGTATGAATGATATGTAAAAGTCCCTCAATTTGAAATTATTTGTCCCGTACTCACTTCTGCTATTAGTTTAAATCCCACCAGAAAGTTATAAAAGCCATTGTCACAGTTGCGTGATTAACACGTCAGAATAGTGATCTAAGGGTTGCTTGCAGTGTGAGTTCAAACCCCCCTTCAGGGGCAAGGCGTTGTTTCCCTGAGCAAGAATCTCTACACTCATTGCTTAGAACTGGTTGGTTCCAGAAACAGATTTGAGAGTGTTTCAATAAGCTAATATAATATAGCTTTTTACACAATCAAACTAAAATAAATTTGTATAAACTAAAAATCATGGTTAATGTGACATAGTATAATTTTGAGAGCAAGTATGGTATGGTCTCTATATAGTCCACTTCTCTTTATGAATACCAAATAAGTCTGAAATTATATTACATACACTTAATTTAAAGTCATTTATCTAATCAGTAAAGAAATTATACTAGTGCAGAACTGAAGAAAGATAACTCTACCTCGTTTTATTTTCAAATTATCTCCCTTTATGTATATTTTCCATGTTATCTCCCTTTTATCTGTTATTATTTTCCTTTGTTAATATTTTTTTTTAAAAACAGATTGAAGAACATGTGCTACAGAATTATTGATTTATTTGTATATTGTTTAGTATATATGTATTATTTATTATTTTTAGGTACAAAACCCCTAAATCTACATTGTATAATCACATATTATGTTCATTTTTGTTCATTAGATTAAATGATTGAAATTTAAGTTTTTAGTTTTGTTTTTCATCATAATTTTATGAATGGGAAAGAGATGATGAAACTGTATTAGTTAATTTTCACTGAATTACAGGAATGGATACATCAAAGGCTTTTATAACAGACTGTTTCCACATGAGACAGAATATTACATATAGATTTTTTGTTTATTTTTGTTTTGGGTTTTACGTCACATCAACACAGTATAGGTCATATCGCGACACTCCAGCTTTACTGGTGGAGGAAGACCTCAGGTGCCCTTCCGTGCATTATTTCAAGCACAAACGAGTACCTGAGTAGAACAACTGGCGTTCCGTAAGCTAGCTGGATAGCTTCCTCACATGAAAGAATCCAAAGTCCCTGTCGGGATTTGAACCCACAGCGGTGAGGGGCAAGTGGTACATATAGAATTAAAACTGGAAAAACAGTATTTGTCCTAGAATAATCTTTATATCAGATATCATGGGAGTCTGTCCTAGATTTATCTGTTTGCCAAGTACCACAAGAGTGTGTCCTAGCTTAATCTGTATACCAACTAACATGAGGTTCTGTCCTAGATTGATCAGTATGCAAAGTTTCATGAAAGTGTGTTCAAGATTTATCTGTTTACCAAGTACCATGAGTATGTCCTAGAATATTTTGTATGCCAAGTACAATGATAATCTCTCCTAGTTTAATTTGTTTGCCAAGTACCATGAGTATGTCCTAGAATATTTTGTATGCCAAGTAACAGGAGAGTCTGTTAAAGAATAAAATGTATGCCAAGTAGCATGAGAGTGTTCTAGATTAATCTGCTTGCCAAGTACCATGAGTCTATCCTAGATTAATCTATATGTCAAATGCCACAAGAGATTGTCCTAGACGAATCTGTATGCCAAGTACCATGAGAGTATGTTCTAGATTAATCTGTATGCCAAGTACCATGAGAGTCTGTCCTAGATTAATCTGTATGCCAAGTACTATGAGTCTTGTTCTAGATTAATCTGTATGCCAAGTATCACAAGAGTCTATCCTAGATTAATCTGTATGCCAAGTACCATGAGAGTCTGTCCTAGAATAATCTGTCTGCAAAGTAACATGAAATTCAGTCCTTAAATAATCTGTGTGCCATGTAATAAGAAATTAGCATCACATTTATTTTTTGTCAAGGTCTGGAAGATTTTAACAGTCCTTATGTATCTAAAATGCCTCAACATGATGTTATGAAAAATTATTCATGTAATTTTTTTTATAACAGCATTTATATAGGAATTACAACACTATTATCTTTTATTGATGGGCTATCAAATTGACACCAAAATAAGACTGCTTACCTAGTCAGTACTTGCTTGTCAGGATATACATTTATGTTGTGTTATGTCCAAGTTTAAACTGACACTTTGTTCAAATCTGGGACTTACGTTAACTTGGACTTAACATAATTCTAAGTCCCAGTTTA